TGTGTGAGTCCTGCATCTGTGTGTGAGTCCTGCATCCTTGTGTGAGTCCTGCATCCTTGTGTGAGTCCTGATACTTGTGTGAGTCCTGCATCCTTGTGTGAGTCCTGCATCCTTGTGTGAGTCCTGCATCCTTGTGTGAGTCCTGCATCCTTGTGTGAGTCCTGATACTTGTGTGAGTCCTGATACTTGTGTGAGTCCTGCATCCTTGGGTTTTATCTCGACCACAAGTCATATGATTCCATGAAAGATGTGAGAAAATGGAAGTGAACAAAGAGCAACTATTCTTCCTCCTCTGTTAATCTAATAATCTTATCCAAATGTAATCAAGCGCACATCAAGCATCAGTTGGTGTGTATAACAGTTCGAGTGTGTCTGAGTGTACTCTTGATTGTATTCATCTCTGCTTTTCCACTCCTCTTGTGACATGTTTCACATGCTGAACATAAACACTCAGTATGGGCGTGGGGAAAAATACATGAAAAAAGAAGATATTTAAATGCCAAATGAGATTAAGTAAAGGATTCCCATCTGTGTCTTTGCTTTGTTGCCAAACAGCAATGAGTGGATCGGGCCTGAAGGCTGAGAGAAAGAGCTGTGTCAGAGAAGAGAAAGATGAAAATTCTTGGCATTTAGAGCACTGTGTGACTATACTGTAGCAAATGAAGATAATACTTAAGACGAGGGATGGAAGATACAAAAAAAATGACATTTTGCATTTATGTTGACAAGACTCACTTGGAGCTTATGGAAGCTACACCTGATTTCCCCCAGTATTAGTCTGTGCTTCTCTGCACCACAGAGAACATTTTTAAAGATCATGATGGAGACATTAACCCCAGAGAAAATAACCGAGCAGTATGCAGTAATTTGTTCCATAATGATGGGACAAGCATCTTTTTGTTCACCTTTTGATATTGTCAATTTTCAGTATATTATGTGTAATCTGTTTAACCAAACCTTGATCTCAGGAGTTCCTGTTAAACATTGAAGCTCAGGCATTTGATTCAGTCAGACAGTGAAACCGAAAAAGAAACACACAGAATCAGCTACAAATCTAAATGTGCTGATTTTGAGCTAACACACACATACTTTGTCATTTGCCTCTGAATCGGTCATGTTGTAGACTATTTAAGATAGAACCCAGTTGGGCAGTGACGTGTTTAATTATTTTTTTGTTCAAACATAGACTGTTCATTTTTAAAAAAACAGCATTCTCAGCAGCTACAGCTAAAAATGGCACAGCGGTCGCATGGAAGCATGAATAAATGAGTTTCTGGTGCTAGATGAGACTTGAGTCGACCGGCAGAAGGTGACTGAGCGACTAAAGTAAAAAAGATGAAGAAGAAGACGACGGGTTTGTTCTCCCTGACAGTTATGGGGCGCAAATACGCTCGATGCTTCGCCGCGCACTGCGTCGCTTCTCTAATGGCAGGCCCCAATTAAACGCTTCTGAATTTACCACGAGGACACACACTTATGCTCACACGTCTTCATTCTAATGAACACATATTCTTTTATTGCTATCACTGAAGCTTCGCAGACAACCAGTTGGTGCAATGATACAAAGAAGCCAACAAAGACCCACAGAAAAACCTCAAAAACCTCTGAAATACCCAAATATAGCCAGGTGTAGCCCAATTAAAAAAGTCTTGAGAACATCAAGGTGCAGGATCCTACAGAGGTGATGACATCACGCTGAGGCAACACAAACAACACCAGCAACTGGAACGATGTAGTGTGGAAAAACATGGCTGCAGCTCGCGGTCCAGTTTAAATCAGATTTTTTTTTCAACAGAAACTGATGAGCAAATGTAAAAAGTAAAAACAAGAAACTTTCTTTGCCTCAAACTGCTGACTCAAACATTAAAACGCAGAAAACTAATTATGAGTCGAGCACTTTTAACTTAAAGCTAAACTTTAAATAATGAAAACCCAGCTTCTATTTGTTAACACATCACCAAACTGCTCTTGGAATAATTAGTTTTAAATGAAAAACAAACCAACATGTCAAATTAATGTTAAAAATGTGAATGAATGAAATTGTCATTAACTGAAGAAATGCATATCAAACCTCCCTATAATATCACTCGTCACTCCGCACAGTAAAATAGTAAACCACGATTTTCTGTGAACTGTTAGAGGTGACCCATACTCTAAACAGTAACACACCTAATTTTAGCTTAAACAAACAAATTATAATAATAACTGAGATATAGTCATTTTTGTGTTTGATAAGTTGGTTGTCAGGGTCGGAGCCAGAGGAGGGACCCAAATGATTCTGCATTCTGATGGGAATCGCGTGTTACAATAAAAGATCAATTAGAGCAAAGACAGAGTAAATATCTGTCATGCAGCTGTGTTATCCAAACCACTAAATTAATATGAAGCAACAATTCCACCACAACAAATTTCAGGTCAATAAGTATAAAGAAAATAAATGGTAAATGGTTTGAACTTATCTAGCGCTTTAAGTATCTATGGACTCTGATCACCACCAGAAAGCAAAGTGGGTGACGTACTGTATCTTGCCCAAGGACACAAAGACTGAGACAGATAAAAAGGGGGACTGAACCAGCAACCCACCAGTTACAGGATGACGACTCCTAACCATACTGCCACAGCCACCACCAAAAATTGCTCAATTGCAGCCATTTGGATTTAACTTTATTGGCCATTTTGGATTATTTTAATTGAATTGATCAGCTTCCACCGCTAAATTTCAGCTTAATATCTCTAAATGTTAAAACTGAGGTTTCAAAATGACATGAGGATTGCTCTTGGCTACCATCTTACCAAATTTCAGCTCAGTATTTCTAAATAGTAAAATTTCCGGGGTATAATTATTTCAAATTAGCTTGGGTGGTCATCTTTGGATTTTGTATTTACATTCAGATTTTGTGAAAGATTATCAGCTACTACTATATACATTTTCAGCTGCGTATTTAATGACTGAATTGTAGCCCTTTGAAAAATTAGCATTAGGTGTTAGCTTAAATTGGGACTATCAATTATTCTTGGCAACACCACAACAAATTTCAACTCAATTAGTATTAAAATTGCTAAATTATAGTCTTTTAAACTTAGCTGTGGTGGTCATCTGAAATGTTCAAATTCAGGGTAAGTTTTCTTTATTTACATGCCCCCCGAATACCTCGGACACCCCTTGCAAAAAAAAGTCTAGCTCYGCCCCTGTCGACTGGCTGTGGTGGACATCTTGAATCATGCTCTACACTAAAACTTAATCATCTACAAATGTGCATTCAAGGATTACTTTCTGAGAGTTTCATTAAAATCTATGCATGAGTTGAGAAACATT